TTGTTATCCAAAAAAACCCCCAGCAGCTTCCCACCAGTGGAGGTCCAGTAGTAGGAAACAGTCCCACTGGTCAGTGTTGCATCAGGAGTTTGATGCAGCTGGTGGTCAGTGGGTCTGTGTAAGTGCGAGACAAGATATGATTTTACAAAGTATATCTATGTCAAAAGTATCTTTAGGACAATACTAAACAGTGCTATACAGAAAAGGATTTCAGTGTCACTTGCTTTTCCTATATAATCAGAGGAAAAACAACAGGCACAGTCAGAGGGTGATTCCACATGACCTAATTAGAGCACTGGTCTAAATCACCCTTTTGAGGTGCTGTCTGGAGGTCACCCTGTCTTTCAAGGCAGGTTTTGTGGATGCCTCTTGTGACCTTTCAGTGGAATTTACTTCCTGGTTTTGCTACTTCTTCCATCTGAAAGTGAAGCTTTCTCAGAGACCTGACACAAATCCCAAAGAATGCTCTGGATTGCTGTGTGCTCTAAGGATCAAAAAGAAGTTTTAGACCAGTGGATAAAACTGATTTCAAAAATTTATCCCAGAAAAAATATTACTTAATGTCCTTACAGAGGATATACATTTTGTACTTACTGCTGAATTTCTGAAAAAAACCCCAACTATGCCCACATGTATCTAGATTACATCACCATATCTGAGGAATGGTCTTAAAACCCGCTGTTCTCACATAGTGATGTAGAAAATAACAAATTTGGTCACTCAACCTGTACCAAAAGAGCATAACTGCAACACTGAAAGAGGTTGATCTAAATTACTGAAGTTGAGAGTCTTTAAATTATCTTAAACACTGACACATAAGCACTGAGATTACTCACTCAGTGCATGGGCTTTGCCAAAATCAAGGTCTCAATGGCAGGAAGAGGAAAATATTACTCCCCTGTCAACTTTGATTACACAACAAAGAAAATAATGAAACATAGCATATGTTGTCTGGTAAATTTTAGAAACAACAGCTTTCAGCACTCCATGCTTTAACTTTGTGCTCAAATATATCTCAGCTGTGGATGTTCTTCTTCCTTTAACACTGCTCTCCTGTCACAACATTTCTAAGAGGAGAATGTAGATATCACACTCTTTTAATGAGTAAAGGTGTTAGAAGTTACAGCACCTACAGTGACAAATATAATGAAAAAAACATGCCATTTAATAAAGTTAGGTTGTTATTTTTGCCCCTATGGACATATTAAGTATTTTTAACCACATCTGAAAAATTGCTTTGAAGACATTTGGATGAATATAAAACTTTTAATTAAGAGAAGTTGAAGACTGCAGGGAATTTCCTTCTGTATTTTCTACCTATTGTCTAGTGATTCTATTCTGGATGCAAAATCTCTCAGCTAGACAGACCACCTATACTCTTCATCTAACTTTGAAACAAAAAGTCTTTTTTCAACTTTGTTGGTGAAAAACCAGCTATTAATTTAGGTTTTATTCAACAGAGCTCTTAAACAATTTCAGACATTTGCTTAAATGTTCTAGTTCATTTGGGCCATTAAGAACATCTATTACTATATTGTATTAAGTAATGTAAGTAATGTTCAGCATGTCAGCGATGGTTCTCAGGACAAAAAGTCTTTAAAAGATTGTCTACAGCTCACCAAAAATACCCATCCTTTTCAGGTCATAGAAAAAAAATCTTTAACATCCTAAGAAGATTTTACTGGAATGAGATATGTAAGAAAAAGCAGGTCTTCTGTTACATAAACTGCTTAATTTGAAAGCTAAAATGTTTATCAAAGACACACGACATGCAGACCACCAGATATTTGGCTAGACCACTACCACTTCTTTAGTTTCCCTACAATGCTCTGAGGAAACCTATTTCTATCAGCACTGTAAAGTCCTTGAGAGCTGAATATGCATTTCATGCAGCAGGCGAGTGACTCCAGCAGATCTTGCAGCTGAGAATGTCAGGTCAGCTCTTTCACAGTTCCTGCACACAGGTTTTCTCCGCACTTACCTTCTGCATGTGGAGAAGAAAGAGCTTTGACAACTCAGGCTAAACTTGCAGAAGTTATACAAATACACTTTCACCAACGTATCTTCACTTAAATGATAAACTCTGCCCTCAGCTGAGTTGGTTTTCACAGTGACTGAAAAGACATTTTCAAGGACGGTCCCTGGCACAATGCATTTAAAGAAAAACTGGGCTACTGGGATTTCTCAGACATGCAGCTTACAAGTATGGCTTAACTTTGCATAGTAGTAATGCATATTTACAAGTGCCAGATTTTCAATTTATAAATATTTATCATAAGGACATGATTTTATCTTTAATTAGCCCAACTGTTAAGGACACTTCTAATGTGAGAAATGTAATTCAGTATTTCGTACCAGATGTAGCCTCTACAGCTAGTCTTTTATCTCTGCTTGTAATGAGCAGATACTTAAACCAAAACCATTATGTAATCTGTAAGAGATTAGAAGAGAATAACTACAGATGATATGGGCTTTGAATTTCATATCAGAATTTCCTGAAGTTGCATACTCACTTTAAAGCACCTGTGCAATATCACCATTCTTTAAGTATGTGATTATTTCCTACATATATTCATATAAATTTCTTTGTTCACAGAAAGACCTGAATTTCTACACTGTCCTTCCTTTCCTGTCTCTCTCTAACCCACTGAGTGATGGCTCTGTGTTTGACACTTCCAGAAAAAGTACAAATGCGAAAACTGGGATAGGTCCAGCTCTGATCCTGGGTTATCAACACTGAAACATGATGCCCATCTAATAACTTGCATTGCCAAACACAGCAACCCCTAAACCTGAAATTTTATGTAATTACATAACAAACCTTTGGAGTCCTTAGAAATACTGAAACAGCAACAGCAACAAAGCAGAAGGAAGGAAGGACTGGTGACAGGTTGGGGGAAGATGAATAGTGGCAGTCTGGTGGACTCATAAAAAGGCAGATTGACTTTGTTTTTCCCGAATAAACACTTTACCAAATTTCTAAACTAAGTGCTATAAGGGGTTAACCTTCTTACACTGAAAATCATAATTAAAACAACAAAACCAAGCAAAGTAGCCTGGGATTTCATTAGCAATATTCTGTGTTTTAATCCTCCAAGAACATATGAAGTGAACTGTGGGAAAACCAATTTTATGGCCAATGAAATGCTGAAATGGATTGTTCTGTGGCAGAGGTTCAGAGAGCAGGTGTGTCCTTGCACATCTGTGCATCTGTCCCACCATGCCAGCTCCTCTGGGCAATCCACTGATATCACTCTGTGGTCTCACAAAGGCTGTTCTTCAACTGAATAATGAAAGCCCACCTGTTACTAAGGAAACTCTGAGCCAACTTTTGATTCAGCTCATTTTTCTCAGCAGTCTGAGCCCCACTGAGCTGCCTGTTCTCTGTATTCATTTCATTAGCAAACTGTTTGATTATTGGATTGTGAATATCACCTATTGATTCACTGGACAAAAGAGCAAGCAAAAGTGTTTAAACACAATCATTAGGGAACCAAACAACGAGCTGTGTTAGAGATGGGAATGAGGGACACAATGGGAAATGACAGGAGGAACAGAAAGGTGGCACAGAAAGGAGTTTGGGAATTTGTTCCATAGAGTTGTATTGCTGGCTTCTCCTTTTGGCTTTCCCCCATCATTTGAGGCCTACCCAACTTTTGGTTAAGCCTCTGTACACAGGTTTGGAGAATCAGTCTGAAAGATCCTTCTAGGAAACACGATAACATAACAGCAATGTTACAATGACCGTTTTGCACAACTTCTTTTACCTCTTCATCAATTATATTCCCAGTACTGAGTGTTGCCAAATGTTAGAAAAACATCTGGATGACAGAAAGCTGTAGAACAGGACTGCCTTGGTTTCCACATTAATGCTGATTTCCTGGGATACACCCCCTGAACTAGGATGTGATTTAGTTCACAGTACACAAGCAGTCACAGAGCTGCCCGACCTTCCAACAGCAATACTTACACTGTATTAACACTGGTACAAAAATTAAAAAAGATATTATGAGGTATTCTCAGCATGTCTCCTCATGGGGAAAAAAACCACTTGTAAATCTTGAATCTGCAAATATATCAGTGCCCTGGAGAGCCCTCAGATAGCTGTGAATTTTGGCCCTGCTGATTGGAAACAGCAGGAGATTCAGAGCTTGGAAATCAGGCTGAGTTTGGATGAGTCCAGGTTTAACGATTATATGGTAAATTAGGAACAATATCATAAAAAATGTGCATTGTTCAGTAATCCAAATAATGTGCTCTCTTATAGATACAGAGAAAATGACACTGATGCAGTGATGGCAGGAAATTTTGAGGGACTAGCACACTCCAGGAACATGAAGGCAATTAAGTGAAAACAATGGGAACAGCGTGGAGGAGTAGCTGGGTACTGTGTCTGTCTCCATGGCATTCAAGTGGCACCAGACAAAGCTCAGGGATTTGGCACAATGGACTTGTTTAGCACGTGTTCCACCTGCCCTTCATCCCAGAGATGGCCCCTATTAGCAATGGATATGCAAAGGATTGATTTTAGCAGAGCAAGACTTGTTTTTACACTGAATATATCTGGAGTGCATTACACTCTCGGTTTAAAATTGGCTCAGTGTGGGAGAAAGCAACCTCCAAGGTAATTCTGAATTCTGTTTCCATGTTTTATGTAAAACATAAATTCTGTATTTTTCTCCTATGGTAATACCTGATCTTCCCCTCTGCAGGCAGGAAAAACTCAGGTTGCCTTATAACTGCAAAATGGAACCCTTGTTAAAGAATTTTTTATGCTTAGCTTTTTACTTATCACTCAGAGTTTTAAATTTTGTTTGGTTCTTTTTTCAGGTGACCAGATTCAGTTAATAATTTTGATCTGTGGGGAACAATGAGGCTCACAAGCAGTATCTAACATTCCTTGAAAACAGGATCATTTAAGTTAAATGCATTTTATCTGGTGGCTGAGCCATTAACAATTTGAAACAAAAATTAAAGAATAGGCAAGTTTGAGAAAATACCTGCTTTATGAAACTTTTCCATTATCTCTTCACGAACTGATTTCTCCAAGTTGAAATAACCATGGTCTTCATTGGGTGTACTCAGAAACAGAGGGATGTGCTGAAATACAATTATGTGCTTGCATTTCTGCTTTTCAGCAACAGCCAGCTGCTCATCCAGCCACACATCCTGGGCTTCCTTCAACTCAGGGCATTGGGAAGAATCGAAGAATAACTGAGAATTCAGCACAAGAAAGAAAACACCTCCAACCCAAAAGCTGAAGTAGTCATCTCCCCAGTTCTTGCAGTAATCATCTATTGTTTCTCTTGTTGGAGAATTCCCAACATCGTGATTCCCACTGACAAACACCAGTGGTATGTCCTGGTCAGTGTTCTTCAGAACGTTCTTTAAATCTTGCACTTGGTTTTTTCTCCACAGGGTTCCTAAAGTAAAAAACAACCACAAAACATTTGAGTATTTCTGTTATCTTTTCTCACCCTCACTGTTGGCTTTTGTTTATGGAACTAAGCACAGTAAGAAAATATTCTCTATTAGATGTGATCAGGAATGCATTTTCACTTTAATGTTGTGTATTCACTCAGCCCTTTTGCCCCCTGATCAAGTCCTCAGCCATTTCCAGTAGCTCGCCTGAAGGCAGGCCCTGGACAGGAACCAACACCCAGCACAGCAGCAGGTGATGCCACAGTCACTGTTTTACACCAACAGCTTCATCAGGATGATTTTTTTCATCTCTATATTGATGATGTGGTGAAAAAAATACAGCAATTTTGGACAGTGTAACAGTACAAAGGGTAAAAACCAGGTCAACTTTTGGTTTATATTTATGGCTGTGCAAAAGAATAAAAGGTTGTTGGGTTTGTTAATTTTTTCCTTTTTTTTTTCTCCTTACAAAAACTACTTTAACAGCAAAAATATAATTAGTGCCTTGTGGTGACTTATTTATATGATAAGTCTCTTAATAATGAGCATGCCATTAATTTCAAAGAAAGGCAATTGTGTACTTTGCTAGTTTTTCTTGCATCTCTGCCTTTAGATTAATATGCAAACCATACAGTTACTCTTCTGGTTGTCAGAAATTTGTCCCTGCCTAGGAAGATTAATTAACAATCACTGAAAAAAATTTAAAAAAGATTGTTTGAAAAAGACCCAGCTATTTTATTCTAATGACAACAGACGTTTTGTTAGGTTTTCTGAAGATTAATCTTTAATTAGATGCCATTGATACATTTATTATTTGTGAATTAAATAAACACATATAAATTATATTTTGTCCTGCAATATATAACATATATCTAGCACAGGCCCATTTCACAAATAATAACTGCATTTTTTAACCAAGAAGCTGTAACAGGATTTTTACAAGAATTCTGAACTCAGGTTTCTAACACAAACTTGCACACAGTTCTCTGCAAATCAATCATCAGGTACTCTTAAATTCTGTTCTATTTTTGTGCCTACACATATATATTATACATAGAAATCTATAAAGCGGTTCCTGTATTGTGAGATAAAAGCTTTTTTCACCATTTCTTCAAAATACTTACGTTGACAAACACTGAGCCTTAGTAATTATTACCAACAAATATTGTGATTCTTCTACATATCCTACAGACACAGGTTAAAGTATCACCTTATTGCTGTTACTAGAATTCTACAGCTTTAGAAAAATACTGGGAAAAAAACATTTCGAAGCTAAATTATGGCTACATGTAAAGAGAGATGTGAGATTGGATATGAGGTCCATAAAGTCAAAATCCACAACTCTCCTGGGTTTAACTGCTGCATGGGGTAGAAAGTTATTGTAGGGAAGTCTTTGAGTAACTTGAGAAATACAGGCATATGATACCTGGGGAGTCTAGAAAGTAGTGGACTTTCCAGAAAAATGATCTAGGAAAGTAGATCACTTTTTGGGATATATTAATGTACCAGGACTGTGGTCAGTTTAGGTTAATTCTAAATTAATCCCAGAAAAACCAGGGCAAATGACACCTCATGTTACCTGGAGAAGCTGCACTTTACACAATAACCACCAGAAATTCCAACAATCCTGGCTGAGGGTGTTGCTTTTCCTGCCACTTTCCCATGCAAAGAGTTGGAAATTTCGAGCTCTAAATGTGGAAGTGTTTGGGGAAGGAGGGCGGGGAAACACGATGGGGGGAGGCTCTGTAGATCTGTGTAAACACATTACACCATGTTAAACTCCCTGCTATCACTTTGGGAAATTTAGCTAACAGTTGCAGAGTATAAAGACATTTATGCATAAGTTACAGAAATAATTTGCAGAATTATGTATACCTCTTCCCAGCGGTGAAATTCAAGCTCTAGAGACTAACACTTAGATTAGATTTCTCGACAGCAGGGCACTGATTCTCTCATTTAATGTAATATTATTTCTATAGCAACAGAGAAACATATTCAGTGTTTTATTGCAGAAAACAGATTGCTTGAAACGGAAAACAAGGTCTCTGCCCAAGAGCCCAGGAAATCATACTAAGTAAAGATTTTTTGGAACAATTGTATCTTGGCTTGACCTCTTCTTGGTAGAAGGTCAAAACAACTTCAAAAGAAGAGAAACCCAGGGAGAGAAAGGTGGGAAAAGGTGGAGTGATGTCTCAGCACCCCTTGGTGTAGTGGTGGAGAGGAAGGGCTGGACTGCCACTAACCCTGGGCTGCACTGTTGCACAGCAGACTATTTGTGCCACAAGAGCCCTCCTGAGGGTACCTCCCTTTGAATTTGTAATAGATAGAGAAGATAATCAAAGTGGTAAAGGAGGAAGCCATCAGAAAACTACAGTGGTCACTGCCACAGCACAAAAAGTATCCCTTTAATCTCTACCAGGCACAGAGCTGGCTGTAACAGTTAATTATTCCAATTATTATGAAGAACGTTTCTATTTGATGACATGCATTATTTTAGCTTAGATGGAGGTTTGTTGTAGGTGAATAGGGAAATAATACAGTGCTGAGAGGTAATGCAAAAAAACAGTTTGGGAAGCGACAGGGTAGATGCAACTGAAATAAATTTCTGTGCTGTTTATCCTGGCATCATGTGCAGTGACATTTTTAAATCCCAGGCTACAATTTTCTGTCTTTATGTCAGGTTGTGTAAATAAAGTCTTGCCCTGAGATAAATGAATTCGCAAATTAATAGCCCATAAAGGGCAGTTTGGCTTTTATAAAAACATGAAAGTGAGAACTGTTGCTAGTGCAGCTGTGCACAATTTTCCACAGCTTCCCAGTCTCTCATGTCTGAAAGCTGAGGGATGTGAACAGGAGCAGAAAGGTGCAATGTCAAAGTGTCTGTTGCAGAACATCTCTCTGTTGTGTATCACTGTCTGCCTAAACACTTCCAGGGTTCCTTCTGCATTGCTTAAAGGAGTCAAGACAACCAGCCTTGACATGCTGAAAGAGCAGATTTCAAGCAAGTACTTTGCTGAATTTGGCTTCAGTCAGCAGAAGGAGAATTCACCGATCATTCTGCCAAAGAAATAATCCTTTAGCTACTAATCCTCAGTTACAGTTTACTGCAGTATTCCACAGCATACTGCACCTCTGTAAGTGGGTTCGGTTTTTGTAAGGCTCTAGCTCTTAAAAACAACTTAAAAGCAGTGTTTACCCCAAAACTGTATCTCTGCATGGCATGCTGACTGCAAGTTTTGTGAGGCAACTCTTCCCTTACAGTGACCTCCACCAACATTGTAACTTTTCCTCCAGAAGTATTCCAGATGAAAAATTACCAATAAATTCACAGTAGCACCAGCTTTTCTACTGATATGGATCAGGTGAGGGAAAGGGAGAAGTTATAATGGTATGATGAGTTGGTACCCCAACTTCTGTGTTGATGTGAGGAGAAGTTTAAGTCCTCCCCCCAAGGCAGGAGAAGCCTTTAGGATGGAAGTACCCAAGACATCTTCAGCCATCTTAACAACATGTAAAAATATAGCAGAATCACTTCCTGGATTTCTAAATTACTCAGAATTTTAATGTATCTTAAAAGTGTCCCAAACTTGAAGGGAACACATAATTTTTAATGAAAAGTACAAATTTTCCATTTGAAAAAGAAAAAAAGAAAATTAACTTTTATATGAGCAACACTCCCCAAAACCTCTGATATGACAATGTTTAACCCAAGAGACTGATTATCAAAGAACAAGGAAGAAAGAGCTACATTGCAGATGAAAATACTATACAAAATATCAGATAGAAATAGTACCTAAATTTGATAAAAGCAAAATAGAAAGTGTCAAAACACCACCAAAGAAACCAGAATTTATAAAAACACTGGGCCTGTTCCTTCTGTAATTTATGATGTCAGAGTAATTCTCCTGATATCATCATCAAAGACAAGTAATTCTTGTTCAAAGCAATCACATGACTGTTATAAACAACCCACAGAAGGATTTGGGTATTTTCTGGGCCTTACTGGGCCTTTCTGGGCCTCTTTGCTTTAATCAAAAAGTCTAATTGTTCTGAGCACTTCCCTGTTCTTCAGGTATTTGTCCTTTTTTTGGTGTGTCTTTTTTTGGACTGTCTGCAGTTGCCCTACTCCTTTTGCATGCCATTTGGAAGACCTTCCCTAGCACTATTCCCTAAATTTCCAGGGAGGAGGGGAGTCCAAGGTTATATTCACAGCTCTTTCTGTAAGTACCTTCACTGGAGGGAATTTAACTGCTAACCCCATCTCTGTGGGAAAGTCTCCTCCTGTCAAAACAGCACTGCCTTTCACCTCTACTGCTGTTTTGGATACCTGGCTTTGACTCCAGATTAACAGGGCTACAATCAGGATCCTACATCACCCCCCTCAGCTGACCCTACCCAGAGATAGCCCCACTGCTGTGCCTGTCACTTAGAGGCAACACAGGTCCAAACCCCACGGTATCATCAACATTACACTGTATCTTCCAGGCTCCTTCTGCAACTGCATCTTTATTGCACCTGATTTTTATGCACTGACATAAATATAAATTTAACTAAGCTCTAATCTTGTCACATCTCAAATAATAATACCCAGTTTCCTCTGATCTTTGCAAATGCAGCCCAGCATCCCTTCAGAGCACTGATGCAGACAGAGCTTGCCCACCCCAAAGCTCAGCCATTGTTCCTCGCTGTGCTGCCTTCCCTCCAGCCCTTCCCCATCTCAACAGTGCTCCTCCTGACTTACCCTCTTCTCATTTGTTTACTTTTTATCATCCCATAAAAGCAGTGACTCCCTGACGGTCCATGAACAGTTAGAACAAAACACTGTGGTCTTCAATTCACTTCACGTTCATTTTTTCTAGGATGCTATAAAATTGTGATATAAGACAGGGCACGAGCACAGACAGAAAATTCCTCTCTGGCCACCCAGTCCAGTCTTACTCCTTAGTCTCTTCTCTTCACTGTTTCTTGCTTTAAACTTAAAAGCCTCCCCTCTGGTGTCTGC